TTCTATTTAACAAATGTCTTGCCTATAGCAACATAGCAGCATTTTGATTTTTTATCTATTCTCACCATTCACTTTGCCTTTTAAGTGGAGGTGTTAACAGGGTGGTCCCTAGGTAAAGGGGAAGTTCCAGGTTCCCTGCCCCACCCAGAGGGTGGAGCTGAGCAGAGAAAAGAAGAGGAGAGAAGGAATCTGGGGAAAGAAGGAAGCAGGATGGAGAGCCAGATGGAGACCTGAGGAAGCCACATGGAGTAGGGAGCATATGATGGAGAAACCGTGCTTGTTTCTTGGCCCTGGACTGATTGAAAGTGATGTGGGTGAGAGACCCATTGGGAGGTGACTATGGCAGTGTTTCTATTGATTTTGATTTTGTTCTTTTCCTCCCAGACTTGTCTGGCCATGTCTGACCCTTTTCTATGGGTCCCAGCCAGAAGCTGCTTTAGCCTTTTGGCAGCTTTCAGACCTTGCTTTGGGCCAATCCCTTTTGGGTTGACTTTTACCCACGAGGGGATGGGTAAATTTGGGTGTTTGATTTAGAAATTATATTCTTTGTCTTTTGTATTGTATATACACACACTGTATTAAAGTTCCTTTTCATTAAAGTCTTAAAGTTGTTTTGTCTTAATGCGGCGGATGGCAGAACCCATTTAGAGCAGGCAGGATTGGGGGTTCAGGGGTGCCCCTCTCTTCCAGTCCTGTTACAGGTATTAGACTACCTACCATATGTTAGGTCAAAGTCTAACATCTCTTCTATTTTTCTTCTCTTCTTTCAATGCTTCTTTAGGAGCAACTAAACATTTCAATGATTCCATATTTTACTTTTCTTTTTGGCATGTTACTTAAATTTTGTTTATTATTTTAGTGCTTTTGGGTTTCCAGTGTGCTCTATCTCATCACAGGCTGCTTTCATGGTATGTTATAACACTTCACAAATAGTATCAGAGAACCTTATAATAAGACACTTTAATTTCTGCTCTCAGACTGTACCATTATCACACCATTTACATTAAAATATGTAAACCCTACACCATATTATAATTTTATTTAAACAGTTAACGATCATTTGAGACATTTAGTAAGAAGAAAAAATCTTGTATATTTACTTATTATTTATGTTATTTCTGGTGTTCATTTTCTGTGTAGATTTCCATATTTCAATCTAGCATCATTTTCCTTTCAGTGTGAAGGACTTCCTTTTACATATCTTCACATATATTTTACAGTATGAATCTGCTAGCAAAGAATTTTTAGTTTTGGTATGCTTGAGAAAGTCTTTTCCTTCACTTGTGAAAGGTATATTCACTCGGCACTGAATTAGAGGTTGACAGGTCTTTTTTCCCGAAGTACGTTATTTTAGTTCTCTATAGTTCTCCAGTGCATTATTTCTGGTCTGAAACTTGCTGTCATCCATATCTTCCATTTACCTTTTCCCCTCTCCACATATGGATGTTTCACTCTGGCTGCTGTAAGTTCTCTCTGTGTCACTGGTTTTGAGTAATGTTATCTTCCTAGGCAACAAGCAGCATGGAAGTTTGAAAGAACAAGGTTGATTACTCACAAGTCCTGGGGGTATACAGTGTCCCTGGGGCCAAACTAGCAAGGTTGTGGACAAAGACAAAGAGAGAGAATCTATTATTCAGTCTTTATTGGTGTAGAGGGTGGGGTGCTTATGGTTTCAAGGAATGGCTCTTGGTGAATTTAAAGCCTAAGAGAGGGAAATTATGTGCAGAGAGGTAAAAGCAAGGTCAGGCAGTGACTTATTTTGGGCACTTTGGCTTTGTAAAAGGGGAACTTCATGGGTGGAGCAGTCTGTCTCTTTAGCTATGTGGGTAGCAACTTGCTTATTCAAATTGGAGGTCTTGGAAATGAATGCCTGGGAAATCAAAGCTCAGTATCAGGCACTTACATTGCAACCAAAAAAGTTAACTGTCAAGAACTGGTCCTGCAGACATTCACAAATTGAAAGGGAAGAGAAGGAAAAAAAAAAAAGTTAATGGAAATGGAAAACAAGTAGGAATATCTATATTGATTCTAACAAAATAGGCTAAGTCAAAGACTGTAATCAGAGACAAAGATCATTATATAATAAGAAGGTAATACACAGAGGATATAACATTTGCAAATGATTATGCTCTTAACATAAAAGCACATAAGTATATAAAAGAATCATAACAGAACTGAAGGGAGAAATAGAGAGCAATAAAATATAATAGAAAACTTCAATACCCCATATTCACAGAAATTTCTCACAAATGTGAGACCAGCTGGGCTTAACAGACATTTAAGTGACAGTCCATCCAACAACAACAGGACACACGTCCTCTACATGAATTTGGGAAGAATGTATCCTGTTGCTGCTAAATCTACAGATTTAATGCAATTACTGAAGTTTCAGTAATGTAATTGCTTTACATTTCAAAGGTATATTTCACAGAAATTGAAAAAACAATTCTAAAATCTGTATAGAACTGCAAAAGATTCTGAATAGCTAAAGTGAGTTTGAGAAATAACAAAGCTAGAGGCATCACATTTATTGATTTCAAACTATCTCATAAAGCTATAATCAAAGTATTATCATGTTGGCATGTCATAAAAACAGATACTAATCAATAGAACAAAAGAAAGAGCCCAGAAGTAATCCTCTCTCTATATATGTATTTATTTTATGAAAAGGAGCCACAAATATGCAGTAGTAAAAGAATAATCTCTTCAGTAAGTAGTGCTGGGAAAGCTGAACAATCACATAGGACAAAACTGGACCCCTATCCTACAGTGTATCCAAAAGTCAACTCAAAATTAATGTCTTAACTATAAAACCTGTATCTATAAAACCCTTGGAAGGAAATGTAGGGTGTGATTCCTTGACATTGTTCTGGCTATACACAATCATATACACACATATACAAAGCACCTTATCTATCTATCTATCTACATATATATACACACACACACATATACATATATGGAAAGCTACTAGAGACCCAATGAAATTGGGTGTGTATAGATACACCCATATACACATACACACATGTAACACACACACACACACATATATATATATATATACACGTGTGTGTATTTTGATCTGACAACAAAGCAAAGGCAATAAAAGAAAAAAATGAGAAAGAGGATCAATGACAGGTGAAAAGCTCAGCACAAAAATGGTAACCAGTGACAGAATGAAGGAGCAACCTACAGGATGGAAGAAAACATCTGCAAATGATACACTTGCTAAGCGGTTAGTATCCAAAAAATATATGTCACACAACTCCATAGGAAAAAATCTCAAACCATCCAATTAATAAGTGGGCAGAGGAATTGAATAAATATTTCTTCAAAGAAGAATTATGTGATATCTACAAAATATATAATACCCACTGGAAAGGTGTTCAATATTGCTAGTTAGCAAGGAAATACAAATGGAAGCTACATGAGATATCATATCATACCTGTTAGAATGAATGTCACAAAAAAAAAAGAAAGAAAAAAATAAAGAAATAAGAGTTAACCAAGGATGTGGAGGAAAGAAACCCTGTGCATTCCTGGTGGGGTGATATACTGGTGCAGTCACTGTGTAAGACAGTACAGAGGTTCCTCAAAAAATTAAAATAGAACTATCATCTGATCCTGCAATCTCACTTCTTGGTCTAAAGCCAAAGGAAATGAAAACAGAATATTGAAGCAATATCTATAGTCCCATATATTTTTCAGTGTTACCCATTATAGCTGAGTTATGGAAGCAAATTAAATGTTCGTATATAACTAGATGTATATATCACATATGGAAATATGTACATACACAAACATAATTATGGAATTTTGTCTGATTATGAGGCAGAAGGAAATCTTGCCATTTGCAACAAGATGGAGAGAATAGAGTGCATCGTGCTAAGAAAAATAGCCAGAGAAAGACAAATACTGTATGATATTGCTATTATGTACAATTTTTGAAACAGTTAAGTTCATTGAGACAGAGTTGAAAATTGATTTTGATGGAAAGAGGAAAAAAAGGAGTGGTTGGTAAAAAAATATTTTCAGTCCTATGATGAATAAGGTCTAAGGATATAATATAAACATGGTGCCAATAGTTGATAACATTGTATGATAATTGGAATTTGCGAAGACAGTGGAACTTAATTGTTTCCACCAAATGAAGGGATGAATGAATGACTAAGGCAGGTGATGGATGTACTAGTTAACCAGACAGTAAGAATCCTTTCACAAACTGTTGAGGCATCTTACAATTTTACTTGTCAATTATACTTCAACAAAGCTGAAAGAAATTTATAAGTTGATGATTCAGGATGAATGCATAGTTTCAAAGGAAAAATCATAGCAATGATAACAAGGGTCATTCAAATGAGTGCTTTTTATCTTCAAAAATATAGTCATAAATAGCAAGTGAAATACAAAATACTCCAATGCCCTTATCTACTTTTAGAGCAAATGTGGTTTTGTTTCATCAACATAACAAATCAGTGCTGTTCATTTTAATATTATTAATGTTACACCTTTAAAGTGTAGATTGATTGGTTTGGATTTTATAGATTTTTTAGAGTCAATTGTCATAAGGAATTTATACACGTTTAGGTAAATAACATTGTATTACAAAAACACTGCATGTCATACATTCTTTTTCCTTGAAAGGGGGGTTCCATTCATTAGGTAAATTGGAGAGATGATGTTTAAACACCATGAAAGAAATGCATTTTTCCAGCACCCACATTTGCCTTATAATCTATTATATCTGATTTGCGCGTGGACATTTGTTTTGTAAATGTTTCTTTGTGACTAGGGAGGTTGAACTGTGGCAAAATTTCCTGTTTCAAAATTCACCTTTACCCATCATCAACTTGTAGAAAATAGTTTAAAGAAATGTGCTGGACTGGCCTGCTTTCAACACCCAGAGCAAGTGGGGCGAGGTCATACCAGCTCTTACCAATGACTCCTCATATTCAGGGCGCATACATAAGGTGAGGAGATGTGGCCTGAGAGGAACATCTGTCCATTTCTCCCAGATCCCCTCAAGAAGATCATCGTCCAAGGGCAAGTTGCCTTCAAAAAAAGACTTTGTCCATGGGATCTGTGAGTTCACTGCTCAGACTTCAATCTGATTTCTTTGTGTAGACTGGTGGTAAGTTCATCTTAAAGGCATACCTATCATTTGAAATGTTTGTGTTTTTTTTGCAGGGCCAATCGTACATGTATATTTTCTTCAGGGTCAGGTATGGTCCATGACTCGAAGTAATTACAAGCATCCTTGAAGAAGCTATTTGTCCACTGAATGGTGTGTTATAGCAGAAAGTAGGGCGAGTCAAGATGGAGCTGCAGACAGAGGACAAAATGGATGAAGAGGAGGAAAAAGACAAGACAACCAGTGCGCAAGCCCAAAGTAAGGCTTTTTGTTGGTGCAGATGCACCTACTTTCTAAATAGATGCCGCAAATTCATTGAAGTGAACGAAGTACGAATGTAAGAAGTTTTACCCCAATTGGGAAAATTATACTTGTGGGGAACTAATTCAATCCCAGTATTTAAAGATTTATGACTAAATCATGTCTCTTAAGTGTGATGCTTCCTTGTGACATTTTGCTTAGGCTTTTCTGTTTCACTTGTATTAGTTCCGCACGACAGGACAGTGGTGTAAAAGGGTTTACCAGAAGTGAGTATTGAGTAAGTGTCATCTTTAAATACTTTTGCAACTTGTTATGCAAAATCACAGTTGCACAAAAATGTGTTTCCATCAAGAGCTATAGAGTAGATCAACTATACTACCTCTAGACTAGAATTTTCTTTCACAAGAAATGTTCTATTCATCTGCAAAGACAATTGATGCATGCTAAATTTCAGGTCCATCACATACCTATCAATATATCAAAGAAATGTTTTTACTTCACTGAAATTTAGGTTAAAATAAAAACACAATGGTGTTAATTTCAGGAATTATAGGCAGGCACAAGAATTAATACCAGTTAGTACAATTTCTCTCTCACTTCCTATCCTCTTTTTGTGTGCCACACACAGAAAAGTAAGCTTACTAACCAATAAGAAATTTGCTATTCTGTGAGGGTTATCTTTCCTTTATTTTTTTTTTTAAGATTTATTTATTTATGCATACAAGAACTGGGGTACAGGCCAGAGATGCGGAGGGTGAGAGGAGTCACCAGAGACAGAGCAGGGAGCAGAACAAGCAGATTGATTGAAATACACTGTTGAGGGGAGCAACAGGTGGGTCAGGAGAGGTCTGTCACACCATGTGGGTCACCTTCCTAGCCAGGGATGGAACTCATGCTGCAATGGCTTAGGATAGCTTCATTGTGCTGTGCTTTAACCTGTTTTGCCACCAGGGAGGGCCCTCCTTTACTTTTTAAAGTAAAATTCCTAAGCTTATTTATATTTTGACACTGCTCTTCGAGCTCAGTAACAGAATGAAAGAAATTATTTGCTTTGGAAAGTCCTTTTTTGATTCTTCTGTGGCCTTTGAAATTCTTAGATTTTTGGTGGTTAGGGACATGGGCTTTAAATTTTCTTTATAAATTATTTTTGAGTTATCTAATTTGAATGTACCATTTGGGAAAACTATTACCATTAACTTATATGGAAATCTTATAGAGCATTCAAAGCCCCCCAAAATCACCTACCAAATCATACCAAATAGGAACTTTTTACTTTCAGATAACAGGGAAAACCTGTAGTTTCAGTTAAGGAAGATGACAAAGTTTTGGAAATGGATGATGGGGTTAAACAACAAAAGGAATATACTTAAGGCCAGTCAGCGTTACATTCTAAAATGCTTATAATGGTACATTTTAGATCCTACATATTTCATCACACACACACACACACACGTTAAATACACCCTATGTTGTTCACAGACTAGCATAGAAAAGAGCTATTACCTGGCTATTTTAAGGAGAGCTTTGGAGGAGTTTCCTGAGAGGGGTGGTTGGGTTAGGTGACTTTGCAACCCTGAGATTCTGGGGGATTTCTGAGCCCTGCAAACAAGGGATGATGGTTGTCGGGGACCCTTTGTTCCCCGTTCATGGATTATTTGGGGGCAGAACTGGCAGGGTCTCAAGGTGGGAGCAGCGTTGGCGAGTAGAGATTCCTAAAAAGGGGGGAAAAGGAGGAAAAGGGGAAAGGAGAGCGAGGAAGACACGGGAACCGGAGTTGGGTACAAGTCTTCCTGTCCTGCCTATAGCAGAAGTTTATTTTATACATTAGGAGCAAGCAGTGGGGTGGCATCAGCACATGAACTGGGCTGCGAGATTACAATCATCTCTTTTTTTTATAAGAACAGTTTAGGGTCTATTGCCCTTTAGCTGAGATATAACATTCATTATTCTTAAAATCAATCTATTAAAGTTAAGATAGGTACATAAATTCATAAAATTTAAGGCTAACATTGTTATATTTACTACAGTGTTGATTGGCTAAAATAAAGTCCCTTTAAATATTAATGATCTTAATGTTACTTAATGATTTTCATTCTTATTGAGACATCTTAGAGGGTAAAGTCAAGTTGAGGGCTTGGGTGGAGACTGGGCTGGAGATGTGAAGAGGGATAAGGTGAGGTCATGGGCCAAAGAGAAGTTGTGAAAGAGAGGAAAGTAAGGTCGAAGACTAGGCTGGAGGAGTTTTCTGGTAGATAAATCACTAAGGGAGATAGTAAGATTCCCCATTTAAAGACTGAGCAATAAATGCTTAAGTAAGAAAGTAGAGTGTAAGATTTAGGTTCTGGTCTGGGCAGTAAAAGAACTTTAATTATTTTTTTATTATGTTCTAGTAGTGCCTTGTCTTACAATACTGATTTTGTTATAATTGTTTTTATTAATCAACCAGTTGTAATATTATTTTTTGCTTTCTAGAGGAATTTCCTGTCTTGAGCAGTGCTTGCTCACCTGAGACAGGCAGCGCCTTATGAGGCTAAAGCAATCTGGCTGTAAGCTGCTGGTTGCTTAGAATATTTTGATATTACAAAAAAGGAAGGTCATAACATAAGTTAGCGTGGAAATTCTAATTTCTCAGAGCTCTTCCATCTCTATCCGGAATATGTCAGTCGATAGAGATTGCATAGCTTGTGTCAGGTGGTTGTACAAATGATGACACATGTGGGGAGGAGGCTTTATACGGTAGCCGCCTCCCCTCGAAGAGTTGGTCCTGTGTCATCTGAGCTTTATCCTAACATCCTCATTAGTCTCACTGCTCAAAAATCCAGAATGGAGATGAGAATCAGTGTCTCCAGAAAAATCTGCTTATCTGGCCGATGAGCAGGGGATGGACAGCTTAAGAGAACCCAGGCATTCTCGCCCTTGTCATCATGAATATCTGAACCCTTTCAAATTCAACCCTTAAAGATATCTGACTAGTATTGTTCTGAGTCTCTCTGACACCACAACTGTGACAACTTCCTAGTGCCCAGACTCTCCAACTCCTTTATGTGTTTTAGCATTTCCCCAACATCATCTCTCACGGTCTCCCTTTCCTCCTTATGTTACTTCATCATAATCATCCCTTTGCCTCTACTCTGGTCCCTCTCTCCCCCATCATATACCCCTGGTTACTCCAAACTCTGGAAACATCTGAACCTCTTTCTAGTCTTATTTGCACCCTAGTAGTCAGTGAGGGTGGTGGGAAGACATACTATTGAGACTGGCCACCCTTGTTGTATCCTGTCCGTGGTTTTAAATGAACCCTCAATGCTCCCCAACAAGCTGATTATATTTTCAATATGCTCTCTCACTGTGCCTATGTGCTGTTTCACCCTTTCTCCTCTATCCCCAAATTCTGTTGGTTCCTCATTCTCAGCTGATGACCTTGTTTCTTAATTGGTAAAGCAGGTTCATTAACTCACATTCAGACCCTGTTCCCATCACAGGGAAGAAATCTTCTTCTATGTAACATCAACTTTCCAGTAGAGCACTGGCTTCCTCCCAGCTCATCTGCTCATTAATACCTCAACATTTATCTCTTCATTCTTGCATTATCACATTTTCTTTCCTTTTTGTTTCATGCCCACAGGCATACAAATATGTATATAATTTTAAAAAGTATCTATTCTCTATTTACTCTTTTTACTTTTTTTTTTTTTGCCTACTTCAGATTTTTGTTACCACACTTTACCAAAATCCTTGTTGAGTTCATCACTGATCTCCAACTGGCCAAGCCCATTGCTCAGTTTTCATTCCTAATTTTACCCACTTTAGCAGCATTTGATAGAGTTGCTCATTCTTGAAACCAGTTTTCACTTGACCCTAGTCTTTGCAAGTTTACCTACGATTTCACTAAATATACCTTTTCACGATCCTTCATCTACAAAGAAACAGGAAATGTGTGTGTGCTAAAGACCCAGAAAAGGTGGTGATAAAATTTCTGCTAGAAAACCAGGTAAGTTGGTGATCGAATTCTAGTCTGAGTCCGAAGGCTGAGAAGCAGGAGAGCAAGAGGCACAAGTTCCAGTTTGAGAGCCAGTTCTGAGGCAGAACTTCGAGAGAATACAAATTCTCCCACTTCTTGGCCTTTTGGGCTACTTACACTTTCAACAGACTGAGGAAACCCACCCACATTCAGGAGGCAATGTACTTCACCATTCCAAAGCGTCATGTGTAAATCTCACCTGGAAACACCTTTACAGACACACCAAAGTCCTGGGGACCAATGGCCGTCAAGTTGCCACGTAGGATTAGTCCTCGCAGCTTCCTAACTGTGGATCCACTTCCACGTTGTCCCCTAAGTTACTCTCCACACAACAGGAACTGAAAAAGCAAAGCCAAAACATGTCACCCCTCTCTTAAAAATTCTTCAGTGCTTTCCTTTCTTAATCAAAGTAACATTTAAAAATCTATCATGATCCCCAAGGCCATACCTGCTCTGCTCCTCACCCCAGCCTCATCACCTATCACTCCCGCTCCCTTTTATTCTGCTCCTTCCACATTATTAGTCTGGAAGTCAAGCATGTTCTAGTCTCAGGAGACCCTTTGGCTTGAAATGATCTCAAAACAAATTACTACATTGTTTTCTCACTGCTTTTTCTTTTTAAATCATAGAGCCTTTTGCAACAGACCTATTTTTTTCAGATTTATTTATTTATGCATACAGAACTGGGGTATAGGCCAGAGGTGTGGGGGGTGACAGGATTCACCAGAGACAGAGTGGGGAGCTGAAGAGGCAGATGAACTGAAAAACACTGCTGAGGGGAGAAGCCGGCCAGTCAGGAGATCATGTAGATCACCATATAGATCACCTCATTGGCCAGGGATCAAACTTGAGCTGCAATGGCCACGGTAACTTCACAGTGCTGTAGATTAACCCATTGCACCACCAGGAAGGGCCCAAAAAGCCTATTTTTATAGTATATTAATGCACCCTTCATTTCTCATATTTTGCTTTACTT